ACAATGTCATAGTTGTATTTATTTATTAGCACTTCCAGTTCTTCCTGCTTATTACCCATACTTCTCGCATTTGTATATAGGCATCTAAGATACTGGTTTGATCTTTCCTCCCGGTTTTGTCGCTGTGCTCTTTCCTGTGAAAAAATTGTCACTATCTTTTAGTGGTTTTTAAGGTCAGTGTCACATCCCTCTCCCTAAGTTTAATGGATAGCTGCCAGGTTCTGTACCCATTCCTCTGGGTCTGAGTCCCCTTTCACTTAAACCAGTTTTACTCTAGTATGAGTCTGTTGAAATAAATGACTACAGTATAGTTGTTCCTGATTTACAGCACTGAAAGTGAGGAGAATCACACCCCCCACCATTTTCTTTGCCCTTTTATAAGTTATTGGACCCAAGTCTACAGATTTCTCTTTAGTCTGTGAAGTGATGTCGTTTCTCACTTTACACAGGCTTTCTTTGTCAGCTTTGTTCTCTGATGTCTATAAATCTAAAGGGGCTTTTTGTGTGTGCTTGTTTGATTTCTTGTTTCTCATGCCCAAACTGTCTGATTGTCTTTGCTTTTACTGACTGTTTTTTCCAAATGTCTCCCATAAACCTTCTTTTACTGTTTCAGTTGCAAAGGACAATCACATAATTGTACTAACTGAATGAATTTTCTCATAGATTTAGTTGAGTGAAGATAAATAATCTTAAACACTCTGCTAATTGCAATAGTATTGTGCTATGATTGGTAGCCTTAGGGAATTTATATTAAGACTCTCCAATTGCAATGAATGGCTACACTATATTGTCAAACATTTTTCCATTAAAAAAACCCCAACCCTCTGTAAAAACTGCATTGCCAGTGCTTTTAAACAACAAAACAGGATATTATTGGGGATCGCTAAAGTCATGGGAAAGCCCATATTCTGGCAGAAATCTTACTGAAGGAAAGGCCAAATCCTACAACTGCTGGCTGTACTACTTAGGGTATGTCTGCACTGCAATTGGAAGATGTGATTGCATTATGGGTAGACTTACCTGAGCTAGCTTTAATCGAGCTAGCTAAGGTACCAACAGCAGTGAAGCCACAGCTATACTGGCATAGTCCTCGGGCAAAGATGCGGCCTTCACCAATATAAGGGGTTTTTCTGTTGGTGCAGGAACACCCAGCCCCTGAACAATGTTAGCTACATTGGTGGAAGCACTCGTCTGTTGATATAACTGTCTACACTGGGGGTTTTGTCAGCACACCTACGTCCGTCAGGAGTGTGAGTTTTTCCCACATCACTGACTGACAGAGTTATTCCAATATAACTTTGTCTCTGTAACACAGGCACCAGTTTGCTGCACTGTGGGCCTGACTTAAAGCCCTCTGAAGTCAATGAAAAGATTCCCATTAATTTCGATGGGCTCTGGATCAGGCCCTATCTCTGTAAATGCTTTGGCTCAGCAAAGGTCAAGGAGATGGAATTAGGAACATCCATTTTATAATATGTTTATTTCATTTTGTATAGTCAGATTAATCAAAACTAAGGCCCCCTATTCAGACGCACACATCTTAGTGCACAGTATCAGCAAAGTAAATATTGTTATTATTTGTATTACAGTTGTGGCTAGTGGTGCCAACTGAGGTCAAGGTCCCATCGTGCACACATATAGGAAGAGACAGACAGTAAGAAACAGAGCTGGGAAATAAACCTAGATGGCCTGAGTCCAAGTCCAGCGTCTTGACCACAAGACCATCCTTCCTTTTATACATGATATGAAGTCACAGTTACCAGTACAAATAAGAATAACAGTAGATTGTATAGAAAGGATCAATAATAAAAAGGGTTGGCTCTTGGATTTCTATATCAACTTCACTTCAGGCTGTTTATACAGTGATAATTACTGGATCTGCTACGGAAAACAAAGAACAAAGCCCTTGAGTATTACCCTGATAAGGGGATTCTTTGGAAGAGATTATGTACACATGTTCCCCTAGGTCCACGTTTCATAATCCTCTTGACATTTCACCTTTCAGAGTAATGAGAAAGGTCTTGAGGGAGAGATTTTAGCTGATGCAGCTTTTTTCTTTACAGTTCATATATGGTCACAGGAAAAACAGCCAACTTCCATCAAATATAGTAAAAGCAAGCAAACTCCAACTCTGGTTAAAGTGCTTCCTTAGTCCCATGAATTATTCTAAACAAAGCACCAGAGGTAATGTATTGGCCTTACTGGAAACTTCTCCTACCATGGTCTCTTGCAAGAGTAAAGCTGTTGTTAGACTCCTCAACCATTTGTAATTCTCCTCTTTCTTGTTTAAATCTAGATTCAGCTGTTTTATTGCCCACTATATATTCTCTATGGCTAGCCCTACCTCAAAATCTAGGTGATCTCTAATGACAAACAGGACTCCTTTGTGCTAAACAGGAAACATGTATCAGATGAAAAAATGTAGATGCTTGTGCAGAAGAACACTTAAAATTACTACTAAAGTGTGTGTGCTTCGGGTATGTGGATCCTCATTTTCTTCAATTCCTGTCTTTCTTGCCTCCTGGAGAAAAATGTAGAGAAAGCCAATGCAATTGCTCATATTTATGTGAAAGTTACACTGAAGAAATATGGAATATCACCTCACTGGTACATCGGCCCAGAATTCCTCTGCCCTATCATGGCATCAGCCATATCTAGTTGGGGTTTTAGAGCAGGAATGCTCATTGAGGGGGATGGACTCCAAGTACACTTAAGGAGAAAAGAAAAATCTCATATATTTTACTTCAAAATCCACTGAGCTTGGAGGAGTCTGGATTTCCCTGATATATGATGTCCACTATGGTTCTATGATTCATTGATTGCAAAGCCCAAAGCAACCACAGTTATCGGCTAGTCTTACCTCCTGTATAATGGAGGTCATACAACTTTCCCCAAATAATTCCTGTTTGCAGTAAAAAATACCTTTTAGAAAAACACGTAATCTTGATTTAAAAATTGTGTGATGGAAAATCCACCAAGCCCCTTGGTAAATTGTTCCAGTGCTTAATTACGCTCATCCAGAATGTATTAGTTTTACATAGACAGATTTCCCACATCAATGTAACAGTTTCTTACCTGACTCATTGTGCTGACCTGTCTTTTGTTTTGCTTGGCTTAAGGCCTTATATATATTGGAGATAAAGTCAGTGGGGCAATTGTGTTTAGAAAACAGAGAGTGGCTTGTATCAGAAACTTCTGTTCTGGTTCAAACAAAGGACTTACAGTTTGTGTTTAAAAATAAGGGAGGGATTAGCCCTTCTACTATGACCCAGTTAAGACTTGCATCCAACCTGGAAGAATCCCTGCAGCACAGGCACTGCATCGGGGCACCTATAGCCAGGGGCCTACTTTCCACAGCTGTGCTATGTGGCTCTGAGGGTATGTTAAAAATGCTGAGGGCATAGACTGAAGGAAAGTGGAAATAGTTCTACCAAGGTCCTAGGTTAGGCATAGCTAATGTTGCTTAATTTCCAACCAGTTCAGGCTGGACTTTGACAACAACTAATTGAGACTGTATCTGGGGTTGCATGCCCTGGCAGAACAATCACAGTGAGGGTGATTAGCCACTGGAACAAATTCTGAAAGGAAGTGATGGATTCTCCATTTCTTGAAGTTTTTAGATCAAGACTGGGTGCCTTTCTGGAAGGTATGCATTAGTCAAACAAGTTACTGGAGTCCATACAGGAGTTAGTGGATGAAATTCTATTGCCTGCAGGGCCGGCTCCAGGCACCAGGCACCCAAGCTGGTGCTTGGGGCGGCACCTGGAGGGGGGCGGCGCGGCGCTCCGGACGCCGGGGAGAGCGGGGCCACAGCCGGGCTCGCCGCCCTCCCCCCAGCACTCTGGCCGCCCCCCCCCGCCCTCCCCCCGGCCGCCGGGGGGAGAGCCGAGCCCCAGCCGGGGCTCGCCGCCCTCTCGTCGCCCTGCCCCC